TCCTCAGTTACCATTGTCAATAGGTTCTGTGATTTTAAGCGAAATGACATGATGAAACCAGTTTTACCATAGGCTGTGTGTGTGTGTGTGTGTGTGTGTGTGTGTGAACACTGACTGGCTATTTTATAATATTAAGAAAGTAATTGGGGGTGGGGTAAGAGATCAACCAAAGGACTTGTATGCATGCATATGAACATAACCAATGGACACAGAAAGTAGGGGGGTGAGGGCATGTGCTGGGGGGTGGGAGCAGCTGGAAGAGGTCAATGGGGAAAAAAGGAGACTCATGTAATACTTTTTAATTTTTATTGATTTCAGAGAGGAAGGAGAGAGATAGAAACATCAATGATAAGAAGGAGTCATTGATTGGCTGCCTCCTGCATGCCCCCTACTGGGGATCGAGCCGGCAACCTGGTATGTGCCCTTGACCAGAATCAAACCGGGGACCCTTCCGTCCGTAGGCCGACACTCTATCCACTGAGCCAAACCAGCTAGGGCTGTAATACTTTAAACCAGTGGTCGCCAACCTTTCGGACCTCACGGACCACCAGTGGTCCGTGGACCATTGGTTGGCGACCGCTGCTTTAAACGATAAAGAATTTAAATTAAAAAAAGTAAAAAAAAAAGAAAGAAACTGAGAGGCCCCAGCCCATGGCAGGGAGCAGGCTAGAAACCATGGGCAGCATTTTTCTTTCGGACTCGGGACCTTATTTGGGCTGGGATGTTGAAGGAGAAGCCCTCTGGTTTGACATGTATAATGCTTTTTCCCCCGCTGAGGGTGCCAGCTGGAGGCCCTGCTTGAGGTATGGCAAAGCCAAAGCTCCCACCCAGCACACCCTCCACCACTCGGATCGGATTAGAGCGCCATAGGCTAATTGACACAAACAAGAGTGAAGTTCCTATGGCACCTCATCAACATTATAGGGGAACAACGTTGAACAAAACGACATTATTTGCGGGTGTGCCGTCTATCCACACAATGGAACACGACTCAGAACAAAAGGGAACGGACGATTCATATATGCTACAACATGAACAAAGCTCAGCATAATTTTGCTGAGTGAAAGAAGTCCGATGAAAAGGAATCATATGGGCATGATTCCACTTATATGAAAATCCAGGAAATGCAGACGAATGGCAGTGACTGCAGATTGGTGGTTGCCTGGGGAGGGATAGAGGGAGGGACTGTGAAGAGACAAAAGGAAAATTGGAGAGTGAGGAATCCGTTCGTTATTTTGATTGTATCCAATTAGACGTCATTAACGCTGTTTTAGAGGAAAAGCGCACAGTAGATACCTAATCGATTCTTGTTCCTTTCCAAGGTGCTGACTGCCACCCTCACAGCGACACCCTCCCCCAGACAGACAAGCCAGTGTCTGCTTTCCCTTGGCTTTATGGAACTGGCTCTCAGGGGCGGTCACATGCCCTTAGGAAAATTGCATCAAACAGCATTCGAGGAGGCGACAGAAGGCTTTGGAACCCCTGCGCCACTGGAAATGGATCTCTGTCCCTCCACCCTCTGACTTACATCACATCGTCAGATGCGTCTCTTAGCTCCATCGGCATTCTGCCTCTTCCAGAGGTCTGGGAAGGTGAAACTCCGAGCCATGGACCTCAAAGGTTGGACATAGAGGGTTTTCCTTAACTCTTAGGGCTTTATTCTCCCTACCTTTGGGGAGGGGCTGAAATGTATGTCTGTGGTTCTCAAATAGGGTTCTTGTTGCTTGGCCCTGAAAACTCCCTCGTTCAGAAAACTGAGACATGTCAAGGTCATTGACTTGCTTCAGACTTTGGATCAAGTGAGCGCAAATACTGGGAAGACTCAGATCCCAGACCTAACTCAAGGGCCGTCCCACTCCCCCCCCCCCCCCCCCCCCCCGCTACCCCCGCCTGTGACCCACATCATATGACCTCAGGGCTGCTTGAGGGAGAGACCAGGCCCTGCTTGCTGGGGCCTGGCAGCTGGCACAGCAGTGGCAGAGGGGCTCCTGTCGGCCTCGCAGGGTCGGTGCTGCTTCCCCATCACGCCCGCCCAGTTGCCCTAGTGACTGTGTGACCCTTCTCCCCCGCCCTCGCTGCCACCAGCCCTATAAATAGAGGCCAAGAGCAGCTGGGCTCTCTTGGCAGTCACCATGAGGGCGCTGGTTCTGCTCTGCTGCTTTGTGGCGTCGCTCCTGCTCCCAGGACAAGCAGGTATGACCCCACCCCCGTGGGCCAGGCCGGACTTCAGCTCTGTGCTGTGGGGGGCTTGGGCAGTAGTTGGAGAATGAGGCCTCCGTGATTCCTGGGGCTGATGGCTGGTCTCATCTTGTCCCCATTCTCTTCTCCCCTGGGGTCCAGGAGAAAGAAGTGGGTGGCGGAGAGAGCCTGATAACATTCAGGGGGCTCTCAGGGAGGTCAGAGGAAGCAGAAGCAGTGAACTGAGAGGTACAGGCAGGGGTGAGCCTGAGCCAGGGGCCAGAGAGAAGGTCTGGCCAGTAGATGCTAGGGAAGAGGACCTTGAAATTCAAGACTAGAGGAGCCTCCTAATGGGACAAAATGAACCTATCTTAGAGCGGGAGGTGCCCCTGGAGGTCACTGAGTTGACCCCCCTGTGGAGATCTGGCAGGGGGCCTGGCTTGGCATGGCTGAGGACGGGGGACCATCCTGGGCAGAGTTCGGGTTTGTCTGAGGAGCAGTGGGATAGAGTGGGGGTCCGTTCGGGATAGAGCTGGAGATGGAGTTGGGGATGAGGTTGGAAACGGAATTGGACAGAGGAACAGGACTGTTCTGGAGTAGAACTAGGCTTGGCTGGGGCTTTGTTAGAAGTGGCTGGGGGCCGGTGTGCCATGGTTTTCCTCTGACATCTCAGCACTGTGCGGCAGAAGCGGCTCTGGTTACAGCACGGGGGTTATTTATAGGTGTGGAGGGGACACCAGAGCGTTTTGCCACCTCTCTGTTCCCAAGATTCCTGGGGCTAGGTTCCCCCGGGGATGCTTCAGGGTGCTCTGGGGACCCCCTCAGGAATCCGGGACTCTGCTTTGTCTTTTGATGCCTGCAGTCTCCATCCACACAGGGGATGTGGGGGCCAGAGCACTAGCCTTTCTGATCTCTGAGGTTCTGATTTTTGAGGGCCCAGTCTCCACCAGGAGAGCAGGGGGCTGGGGCAGCAGAAGCCATTATCTTGCAAGTTAGAGGCCAAGGTGGGGGGGCTCCAGCTTCGCATGTGCTGCTGGGCCCTGCCCTTGTCTGCCCTTGAGTTAATTTGGGCTCCGTGGGGCTGCAGTGGCTGGAGTGTCGAGGATTCCAAGCGGCTGTCAGGTGGCTAAGTATGGAAACAGCCGCGTAATTGGATCCCGAGCCCCGAGCCACTGCCACCCTCTCCCTTTCAAAACCCCTCCCCTGCTCCGCCCAGCCCCAGCTGCCACCTCTGCTTCCACACAACAGGCCCAGGAACTTTTAGCCTTTTAGGGACATCCTTTATCTTTTCTCCCAACGAGGGGTCTGGACATCTGGAAGGTTCCCCAGGCCTCTCAGGGGGAATCTTGGGGTAGGGAAAGGAGGCAGTCAGGTGCTCTGTGCAAAGATCCTCTCTCTGCATGCTCCTTCCTTCCTGGACTCTGAGGTGTGCCCTGGCCCGGCTTCTAGGGAGGGGTTGTCCACCAGTGGGCAAGGTTCCCTCCCTCCTCACCCTGCTCACACGTGGGCTGTGGGTTCTTCCCCATGTGGATTGGATCACTACTTCAGCTATAGGTTGCATACCCCAAAAGATGGCTTCCTTCTGCACCCACTGGGAGGTTCCAACCATGAGGGTGGCTCCCCTCCACACCCATAATGACAATTTTTCCGACTGGTTGATTCTCTCCCGGAACTGTGCCACCCTGCCCGCGGGCCGCAGCTTTGCTCCTGGACTTCCCACCTCACCCCTGGGGCCTCATTTCCATGCCCATGTTGTTTGCTCCTCACTGGGTGGCAGGAGTTCTCTACAACCTCCCATTCCTGTTTCCTGGGGGAATCCTACAGAGTCTTCACGTTGCTCCCATGGCCCTCTGGGCCGGGGCAATGGCTCCACAGCCTCCTCTCCTCGTCTCTACGTGGGGGACCAAGTGCCCCTCCAGATGCCAGGACACTGATGGAGCCACCAGGCCCCCTGACCCCAGTCCTTTGTAACCATCAGGGTCCTCCTCTTTGTCTTGGGGACAGGCTTGCTCAAGGACAGGGGAAAGCAACCTTGAATCGATTTACTCTGTCTCCTCATTTTCTAGGTAAGGGAGCCAAAGCCAGAGGAATGAAGAGATGTGTTCAAGATTAGACAGTGAGTTAGTGACAGGCACACCAGCCTAGGGCTAGTCTCACCCTATCTGGGAGTTCTCGCCCTTTCTTGGCCTCCCAGAACGCCTCTGCCTGTCAGGGCACGTGAGGGTGGTGGAGAGGCTTCCCTCGGGATGCAGGACAAGAATGATGCCATTGGTCCTTTGACTTCTTGGAGGGTGGGGTGGGATGGGGGTGCTGGTTTTAAGCTGTTGGCATTTGTTAGGCTGAATATGGGACATCTTGCTTCCTGCTGCCTCCTGGAAGCAGAGAGAGATTGGGGACAGGCGGGGCGGTTTTCTGACTTGGTGCATCCCTTGTCCTCCAGCCCAGTCCTGGTTGCAGATGTGCACGTCTGCCCTGGTCCCCACCCTAAAATCCCAGGGGCCAGAGGTTGGTGCATGCTGGGGCTGACCCACCCCTCCACAGAGATGAGGGTGTATGGTCCCACCAGGAAGTATGCCCTCCCAAGACCCCCTCCTCACCCACCTCAGGCTGGTTATTTCTGGGAAGAGGCCCATTCACCTGCCCTCAGCAGAGCCATGCAGCAGCAGCCATGATCCACCGTGGGGAGGTCTGCTGAGAGAGTCATGAGCTCGGGCATCCTGGGGAAAGAGCAGACCCCAAAGACTTTCCAGTCCCCTGCAAGCTGTGTCCCCAGTGGGCTCTCTGTTCCTAGCTCAGTGCAACTGGATGAGCCTCTAGGGAGCATCTGGTCCACCACTTCCCTCACCGAGTCTGCGAAGTGCTAGTCTGGGATTTGCTAATGGATGCATCCTCCCAGATGTGGACGCCTTGCTCGGTGGCCTGTGAAATGGCATTTTGGAAATGCTGATTTTGCCCCATGTCTGGATGTGAAGGTCACACAGCCTTCAGTGTTTGTGACAGGGCCAGGTCTGGAATTCAGGTTTCCTCACTTGCCGTCCAGTGTTTTTGGCCACTTGTGCCCTCAGAAAGGAGGTCCCAGTGAGACCAGTTGCATCCACCTGGCTGTTTCGTGCTCACTGAGGTGTAGTGGGCTGGGACAGAGCTAGACCCTGTGGACATAGGAGGAAGACGGCTGTTCCTCCTCTGACCCCGTCTGAGGGGCTGAGGACAGGGCCTAGTACAGTGCCTCGTGGCCTGGGATAAGGGTGGTGACTGGGGGCGGGGGAAGGGGTGGGGTCTGCCACTGTGGGATGCTGGGCTTACCCCTCTGTTTTAGGCTCCCTCTTTGCTCCAAATCAAATCCAAATCCAGCCCGACTGATGACACAACCCCTTCATTTAAATATCGTTGGAGTATTAGAAGCCCATTCATTCAAACACCTTGCCACATTTCATCATTCATTTATCCCAGATTTATTACGTACCTTCTATTTTTTACGTGTGGTACTGGGGGAGTTCAGATAGGCCTCTTGCCCTTGAGAGCTTACAGTTCACTAGGGGAAACAGGGTGTCTTCTGCCTTAGGCCTGTACACGGGAAAAATCAGGCACACAGAGGTGTCATAGGGAGGAACAGATGAATTGAGGTGGGATGCAGGGGAGTGGTGAGGTTATTTTTAACTGAGTGGATCAGGAAATGTTTTATAGATGAGGGGGCATTTGAGCTGGATCTTGAAGGTAGATTCAGACTGAAAAGATGGAAGGAAGAGAATTCCATGTAAGGGAACAGGGTGAACAAACTCCTGGAGTCAGGAAAGAATGGAGCTCTGAACCAGGAAGGGACATGTTTTGCCTGGGATAAGGGCAAGCAGAGAGAAGTGGGGGTCATGGGAAATCTCTCTTTGGCTAGGTTTGGGCCAAAGTGTAAAGGACCTTGAGTGTTGGGCTGAGGACCAGGACTTTGCCCTGTGGGCGGTGGATGACCACTGAGGGCTTTGGAAGAATCTATCTGGCAGTTGTTTGTAGGGAGGAATAGAACAAGGGGAGACTGATTAGATAACCATGTCAGAAATGCAAGTGTGAAGGTGTGAGCTCAGGCGAGAGAGCGGGAGTGGAGAGGAGGGGTGGACCCAACAGAGCTGGGGCGGAATCACTGCTCAACCTGGGAGCTGGGTGGGAAGGAGCCCCTGTGGGTTTAGTGCAGGTCATATGATCGCACCAGAAAAGGAAACCTGGAACATAAGAGAAAAGAACAGATTTTAAAAGTTCAGTTTGGGTCATTTTGAATTCCAGGTGCCAGTTGGAGATATTTAGTTAGAAAGGTGGGGTTGGACTGAGGAGAGAAATCAGGCCAGGGATCCAGAAATGAGATTTGTTTGGGTAAAGGTGAGGGTGAGGCTGTGAGACTGCCGATGGAGATGTAGATTTGGGGAGTGGGAAGAGAAAGAAGATAAATGGACTTCAGGAAGAGACGGGGACCTGGAAGCCAAGGGAAAGGATGCTTCCTAGATGCCGAGGAAGAGGAGGCGATGGCTTTGACACGCAGGAGGTCGCTGACAGATTGTGGGGTGCCATGTGTGTTTATATATATATTTAAGATTTTTAAATTGCTTTTTAGAGAGAGAGGAATGGAGAGGGAGAGAGAAAGAGAGAAACATCAATGTAAGAGCGAAATATTGATTGGCTGCCTCCTGCACACCCTCTACCGGGGATCGAGCCTGCAACCTGGGCATGGGCCTGACTGAGAATCAAACTGGCAACCTTTCGGTGTACAGAATGATGCCCAACCAACCGAGCCACACTGGCCAGGGCAGGGGCCATGTGTGTTTAGTGAGGACGTGGAGGAGGCAGCATATTCAGAAGGTGAGACTTTTAACATTGAGTTTGGGAGGAATAGAGGACAGTAAGAATGAGTGGGGGTGGGTGAGTTAATGGAGGTAGAGAATTTTATTTTTAACACTAGCAAAGACCAAGTGTGTTTGTGGGCCAATGGGGAAGGGTGAGGAAGTGACTAAGACGCCAGATGCTTGAGGAGGGTG